ATGTGTTCTAAAAATTAGGCAGATTACTCTTTGAATAGTTTTATTTTTAATTTCAGTAAAAATGTATAAAGAAAAAAGTGAAAATCGCCTACCCCATCTTTCATGGTTCACAATTAGCCATTTGGTAGGTACCCTCCCAGGCATGTTTACAAATATACAAGTATATAAAGACACTTTTTTCCTTAGGAAAATGGGACTTTTTTTTTTTAACATAAATAGAATTTTTTAAAACAACACCCAGCACTTTTACCATTATTTTCCCATTCAGCAACATGGTGTGGACAGCGTCCCGCGTCAGTCAGTAGAGACCTGCATCACTTTTTTGGAATTCTGGTGTGACGCTGCGGGCTAATGTGCTGGACCACAAGGTCGGTAGTTCAAACTCACCAGCTGCTCCTCGGAAACCCTATACGGGGTCTCAGTGGGTCAGAACTGACTCGATGGCACTTCACAACACCATTACACATTTTAGCACTGGTGTGATGAGAATCCCATCTCATCAGATGAGTAGGAATGTCTGCAAGCTTTCTGAAGTGATGAACCTCTGAGATAACAGAATCCGGATTCCTATTCCACATCTCTGTATGTCACATGATTAGAGCATCAGTAAAGCTGTGCAATTCTCTCACTAAAGTACATCGGGGACCGTGCTAGATTCTGAAGTAGGATCATGTGTCTGGTGTATCAACAGAAGACAGGACCCTAGTTTCTCCAGGAGACCAACAAAAACAAGCCCACGGCCATCGAGTCTATGCCAACTCATAGCGACCCTATGTAGGGTTTCCAAGACCGTCCCTCTTAAAGGGAACAGACAGCCTCATCTGTCTCCCTTAGAGCAGCTGGTAGGTTTAAACCACCCACCTTGTGATGAACAGCCCACAGCGCCACCAGGCGGGTTCTTTTGGTTTCTCCAGGAGAGCCACGGAATATAGTTCTCAGCATGCGTGCACGCTGCCATGCAGAAATGGGTTTGCTGTGCAGCTCACGAACTTAAGCTTCAGGCCCTTCATTTGGGCCAATGTTGTTGCCGTTGTTAAGTGCCGTCGAGTCATTTCCAACTCATGGCGACCTGTTTAGGGTTTCCAAAGAGTGGCTGGTGAGTTTGAACTGCCAACTTAAACAGTCCACTGGCACACCAGGACTCCATTTGGACCAATGACCCCTTCTAAATAAATTTGTATTTCCATATTTTGTATTTTTCTCCTTCGGAAGTCTTCCCCAAATTCCACAAGCTTCCAAAAAACCAAAGCCAAACCATTTGCCATCAAGTTGACTTGGGCTCATGGCGCCCCGTGTGTGTCAATGTAAAAGTGTTTTCCATAGGATTTTCAGTGACTGGTTTCTCACTATTAGATCACCAGGTCTTTCTTCCAACGCACCTCTGGGTGACTTGACCTCCGACCTTTGGGTTAGCAGCTGAAAGTCCCCCAAAATCTGAGGAACTACAGCCTTGCTGCGAATACTCTTTGCTCATAGCCAAAGATGTGCAGTACAGAATCTACACAGGGTCTTTATCTTCTTGCTTCCCACTCAATCTTCAAACCAGTCCAATCTTGATTCCTTCCACTGCACTCAACCAAAATGAACCTGAGATTAGTCGCCTCCACCTCATAAATCTAAGGAACATTTTGTCGTTTCATTTTGCCTGACGTACCAGCAAGTCTCTTCAGCTTGTATCACACACCCCACTTCCCTGGTTTCCCTCCTACCTCTCTGGTTGCTCCCACTCTCCCTGCCAAGAAATGTTCCAGTTCCTCAAGGCTCTACCTATGCCGACTTTTCTTCTCACCACACTTGAAGGGCAAGACCAGCTCATAGGCTAGCTCCAGAACAGCGTGGGCTGAATCATGAAGTCTGATCCACCCACAGAGGAATCCAACTTGCAGAGCACAGCTCTGTGCCTGGGAGACTCAACTTTGCATCTACTAAGAAAAAGGTTGTTTCTTACGGAAAAACACCAGTGATCCAACCTATATAATGTAAATGATATGAGAGATGGAACTTTGAGTTTTCACAGTTCATATGTCATTGAACTTTGAACTTTATCAAACAAACGTCTTGAAGAATGCTTTGGTTTTACTTTTGAAGTTGCCATTCTGTTTTTAAAATAGCCTCTTCTTTCTCCGGCAGAACAGCTGGTAGTTTCGAACTGCTGGCCTTGCGGTTCGCAGACCGATTTCGTAACCATTACGCTACCAGAGCTCTGCTCCCATAAAGATTTACAGCCTAGGAAACCCTATACAGGGTCGCTGTGAGTTGGAACTGACTCCACGGCATATAACAACAACTTCCATAGAACGTCTTTGCTATCACCTCAAAGGGACTCTTGCTGTTTATGGTGAATTCATTGGTTCTGAACTACACATAGGTATTGCGTTGGAAGACAGGGTGAAGCATCCATGTTCTGCCCACAGGGGAGTGAGGAAGCATAGTGATTATCAGCTAAGTGTTCTGGTGCCATGAGCACAGTGAATGAGCTCTGCTGGGACAGATTGGAAGTCTCCCTGAGGAGATGAGAACACCACCCAGCCATACAGTATTACCATTAGGAGTTAGTAAGGAAGATGAGGACAGCCATTCCAGATAGAGGGTATACCCCGAATAAATTCGTAAGGGAAGAGGGCTAGCATGTTCAGGGAAATGCTGGTCGTTAAGTAAGATAACTGGGAGATAAGGAAAGGCGATAAATTGAAGAGGATACAAAGTGGTCTTTCGAAGCAAGCAGAAGATGTGAATAGGATCTGACCAGCTCCCGCATGTAGAAGGACCGACAAGCAGTGGAGAGGCCCACTAGAGGCTGGCAACGGTCTACATGGTCTGTGTTTCTCCAGCAGGGCACAGCGTCCTGGGAGTAGTAGAAAGAAAAAAAAAACAAGTGGCTGATTCATCCAGAGAGATAAGAGGGCAAGCAAGGAATTTGGAGGCATTGATGGCAAAGTATTTAAGGTGGTGGATTTAAATGTGAGTATTTAAAGGACTCATTAGGAGAAGGTGAATGAGAGAGGCAAGGGATTGGAAACTTCTAGATGTGGGCAAAAGGCAGGTCTTGTGGGAATGCAGAAGGTAGTGACCCTGACCAGTACTCACCTTCCTAAATTGTCCAGTTCCAAGTTTATGGCTGCGTAGGCAAGATGTAAGATCTTTTTACACGTTTGATTTGAAAATTTGTTTAGTTACGTGAGCATTCGTTTTTATTAATTTTAATTATTTAATACTACTTAATTCTTTAATGTGGATTCCTGGTGTGGCACTCTAGGATAAGCACTTGACCACAAGGTCAGTGGTTCAGGCTCACCATCTGCTCCTCAGAAACCCTACACAGAGTCACCATGAGTCAGAACTGACTCGATGGCATTTAACAACAACAACAATTCTTTAATGTGTGCTTGAGATTTTGGATCCGTTTTTTTTCAATGACGTCTCATTGGTTCTGGCTCATAGCAGCGCTGTACAGGTTTTCCAAGGAGCTGCTGGTAGATTTGAACTGCTAACCCTGAAGTAAACAGTCCAGTGCTTATCCATCCTACAGCCCCACACCAGCATGAAACTTGAGCTTGGAAATAAAATCAGATTGTTGTTGTTAAGTGCTGTTGAGTCAGTTCTGACTCATAACGACCCTCTATAGGGTTTCCAAGGAGAAGCTGGTGCGTTTAAACTGCCAACCTTGATGTTACCAGTCCAGAGCTTATCCTACCGTGCCACGCCAGGACTCCAAAACCAGATTACAGATGTTTAAATTCTTATTTTATTACATCATTTTTAGATTTCTTTTTGTCTCTGAAGGCAAGGAGATTGATGGGGCAATGGCTGAACAGTGTTTCAAGGAAGGTTTTGTTCTTATTAGAAAAAATTAGAATATGTTTACATATATTTGATAGTCCTGCATTTTTGAAGAATGTTTCACTTTCCAGAGATCAGACTTGAATTATTGAAAGGATTTTTTCTCAATAACTGTATCCGTCATCTGATAGTATATAAATAAATGGAGAGTTGTCAGGGTTGAGGGAGTAAATATGAAATGATGCTAACATTATTGAAAATTTAAGATACCAACCTTAAGGAGCTTTATGTAATTAAATTATAGAGTAAATGTTTATCAAAACATGTCTATGTCTGTCCACTAACTGTCCTGTGCATGGGCAATGAAATTGTAATGCATATGAGAATTGGGAAGTATGACTTGAAGCAAATGTGTTAATACAGAAATTCTAATGCTTAGTCAAAACACAAAGTAACCATAAAGTAAAAAAAAGAAACTTAAAAACATCACAGTTTGGAGATAATTTTGTTTTGAAGGGTGGGTTTAGATCTAAAACAGTAGTCGGCTTAATAGTGCCTTTATTTTAAATATTGAGTCTCAAAGATCAGTGTGTCTTTTTTCCCCACTCCATATATTTGAGACTCAACCATTAAAGAGAGTGGTGAGTGTCGGAAATACCCCTTTGTCAAATTTCTTTCTCTGTCAACCATCCTCCTTAAATTCTGTTTAAGCCCTGAATCATCACATCAAGGAGGTACTACTGGATTTTTAAGGTGTATATGTACATAAAAGACTTCTGTTGTGGTATTGTAGGATCAGCACTGGACTGCGAACCACAAGGTCACGAAGTTGGCAGTTCAGACCCACCAGCTGCTCTTCAGAAACCCTATACTGGGTTGCTATGAGTCAAAACTGACTCAACAGCACTTAACAACAACAACATATACACGAATGTTGTCCTGCATATTTTGACTGATGTCATTTTGACTATTCTATAAGAAAAACTATCCAAGATCTTATAGGGCTTGCTTTGAAACCTTGTCTTACAAAGCAACTCAATCTTTGTTCTCAAGAGTGAAATCTCAGGTAACATATTTGAACCCAGCTTTTAGGAAAATAGTATTAAGAAGGGTAAATCCTAAAGATTGTACAATATTGTTCATTTTAAATATTGATCTTTAGTTTTCTATTCAGTTTGAAGTGGTATGGCTTAGTCTTGAAATGTGTCTTCTTGCTCTAGCGCATAAAGTCTGGCAGAGATGGCAGCGGAGGGTCCCGGAGCAAAAGAGAAGGAAGTGCTGGCAGCGGTGAGTAGCCCCGCAACTTGAAATACTGGGTTTGACGGATTTCTTTTACATGGACTTCTAGAGAAGTCTTAAAACGCTCCCAAAGTGCCCTTTATCTGTTTGTATACTTGCTTTGAACACAGTAAAACCTCACTTACTTTCATTTGAAAAGCAGTCAGTCTGAGAAGTAAACAACTATTTGTAAATGTTGGGAGATTTTTTAGTTTTTAAATAACCATACCTATTTCCGCCATTTAATTAGTAAATAAGCTTACAATGAGCAGGTTAACATAGAAGACATATTAATGAGGTTTTACTGTGTTAATATTTTTTTTTTAATTTTTTACTTAAGAAAATACCATGAGAAGTAGAATGCTGACAGTCAAGAATCATTTGTCCTACTTTTAGTATCAAAATAATGCCGGTGTGGGAATTAGGAACCATGGTTGTAGTCCCAGTCCTCTTCACAACTGTCTATCTTTGTCCAACCACTTAAATGCTGTAGGTTTCAGGTGTTTAGTAAAGTCCTTTGTATCTTTAAAATTAATTGCCTCTATGATGTGTGACCTAAGTTATTTACTAAGAAATTCCTTCCCCTCTTCTCCCATCAATAGAATCTACTCTTTTTCTATACTTCAGGGGATCATATAATTTCAACTTATTAGAAATAAGGTGATCTTGACATTAATTAAACAACAACAAAAAAAATTAAAACGCTCTGTTGGTATCTGTAAATAAGCTTACTGTCTCCTATATTGACACTTAAAACCATCATGCTCATATGATGGTGCTTCAAAAAGTTCTTGGAAAAACGGAATTGAAAGATAACGGAGTTTCACCATGAACTTTTTGATGCTTCAGCGTATGATCCGTCATTGTGGTCTAGGAGTCTCAGAACAAAGGAGAAGTGTAACTCCTAATTTAGGTGGGCCTTCCGTTCACTCACAAACATTTCTCAGATGCATAGCATGTACCAGGTACTATGCTAATGCCAAGGACACAGGAATGGGTAAGAAGGGTCCCCTGTGCTTGAGCTTGAAAGACAAACTTCCGATGTGCTGAGACGGACAGCGAAATGCTCATGTGTTTCTAATTGCCTAAGGAGCGCAATATCCTTTGAGACAGATTCCTTCTTGAACTGAGAACACTGCTTTGTGAATGGGTTCAGACAGTTGCAATCATCAGTGGCATCTAGTTCTTGCCAAACCACCTGATTCTCCAGGGATCAGTCCAGCTTCTCCAACTGAACTTCCAATGTCTGGACCTGTTGACCTTTTAGCCGTAGGTGTCCTGAGCCAGGTTTTTGAGAAATTAGAGAATCTCGGTTCCAAACACAGTCAGCCATGCCAGCCAGTAGCCTTCTTCTGTCTCTTCATCTAGTCAATACGGATTCCTCTTGACCCCATGTGTTATGGAGTCAAACTGCCCCATAGGACTTTCTTGGGGGTGATATTTATAGACATTGTTCCCATGCTGTTGCTGGGTGGGTTTGAATTGCTGGCCATTTGGTTATCAGCCAGTGCACATCATTTGTACCAGCCAGGAACCTCACTATCGCCTTACTGTCTCGAAATTTCCAGATGTGCCTTCACTTCCTAACACCCCACCAAAAACAACGCCTACCTAATCTCATCACTTGGCCATGTGGGACTGGATTTTGCTGAGTCCTGAGTCTGAGAGATCAGTCTCAATCCTTCTCCATAAGCCAGAGAAAGCTACCCAGGGCCACAGTTCATTATCCACAATCGCTGGGGACAAATGTGTTTTGGAATTAGAATTGTTTGTAGTTTTAGAGAAGTAATATGTGTACTCGCCATATTTCCTGGAACACCCCCTCAAGAGCACCTCGTAGTCAAACAGTGTTATTTCTTACTAATTCAATGAAACATGAATATTAATATAAGGATAAGTAATGGCTGTAAATAGCTTCAAATTAGGTCAGGTGTTCTACCCCGTGAGTTCAGGTACTACCAGCAAACCTGGTTTTCAGAGCTTGTTGGATTTGTAGCTGAGAGATTATGACCCTTTACCAGTAACGCTCGTTACAGCCAAGAAGCCAATAGAGGAGCCTGTGTGTCAATTAACAGAAACTGTGCAAATTTCCCAGACCTGCTTGACGCTGCTCCCTTGTTCATGGAAAGCAGGGATATCTGATACAAGTGCTTGTGAAATTATGTTCCTTTAAGGCAGGGGTGGTGGTGGTGTGCCATGGAGTTGGTTCTGACCCATAGCGACCCTGTACAGGGTTTCCAAGGCTGTAAATCTTTACGGGAGCAGAAAGCCTCATCGTTCTCCCACGGAACAGCTGGTAGTTTCAAACTGCTGACCTCGTGGTTTGCAGCCCAATTCGTAACCACTACCAAAGGCAGGGGTTGGGGACTGTTTATCTGCCGACATTTATAACATCATTTGCAGGCCATACAAAATATGCAGAGGCAGACTGCTCCATAGAGCTTTCTTGAGTATAATCTCTATGGATGCCCATGAGCAGCTGGTGAACTTGAACCGGCAACCTTGCAGTTCAAACGACTTTGTAGTCCAGCGCATTAATCCACAGTGCCGCACCAGGACCTGCTATATTTAGCCAAACATTTAATTAATTCACCCTTCATGTGATTGGCTCCTGCTATGGCACTGTAGGATTAGCACTGGACTGCGAACCACAAGGTCAGCAGTTCAAACCCACTAACTGTTCCTCAGAAACCATATATAGGGTTGCTATGAGTCAAAACCAACTCGACAGGCCCATGGGCTGAACGTTCCCCAACCCTGCTCTAAGGAGATACAAGTGTCTCTCCTTTTTAAAGGTTCGTTTATGCCTTCATTAGTACCTATTTTTGTTAGGTACTGATTTTTGATACAAAGGAAAATCTGAAGAGGATTTTTTTTTTTTCTTTATGGAAAGAAAAAGGCAAAAAGTAAAACTAGCGTTCAGCATTTGTTTTGCAGTGTGCTGTTACAGAGACAGCGTGGAGCAGGAGTGGGGCCACCAAGCTCCTTCCCAGGAAACTACCCACAGCATGAAACGGCCATAGCTTAGATCTGCATGTGAATGCTATAGGTTAGGATGACTTTAGGTTCTAGTTGCTGTCTGACATGATTTGGTGGGTTAATTTTTGGCTCTGGGAACGCTCAAAAGTGTTCCCCATGTAAATTAATGGTAATTGTTTCTTCACTTTGTACTATTTCGTCTTAAAGAAGGCTCCACAAGAATGCTCTGCTTTTAGATAGCAGAGGAAGCTTGTAATAGTCTTGAGTAATCCCTACCTTGTTGTTGGTGTTAAGTGTTGTCAAGTTGATTCTGACTCATAGCGACTCTGAATAGGATTTCCATGGAGTGACGACTGGTGAGCTTCAACTGCCGACCTTGCGGTTCAAATCGACCTTGCAGTCCAGTGCATTAACCCACAGTGCCACACCAGGACTCCAACCCTAAGGAACGTTAATTATCTATTGAAATTGTAAGACCAACTTCACCATCCTCTGAGGATTCTAAACTTGCCTTTGGAAATCTTTAGTTTAACCAATGAGTCCTCCAAAACAGCATCAAGGTTAAGTTTGCCGAACCTTCCCTTTATGTTAATGAAATGTCTTTAAAACCCAAACGTCTTCACTTTTAAAATCCTGACATGAGGTCCTAATAAGACAGTAGAGGCTGCCTTCAGAATTGTCGAATAAATTGGTGCTGTCCCTGAAGCTTAAAGCACAGTTTCCACAGTCCCACCCCAAGACAGTGTCCCCAGCAGGCTCAGAGGTCTGCCTCAGAGCAACAAGGTGCCTCAGGGGTCCCTGGGTACCAGATCCTTTGACAAGAATGCTCCATAGGGTTTCCAAGGCTACCAGTGTTTTTGGAAGCAGCCTCCCCTGTCTTTCTCCCAGGGAGCAGCTGGTGGATCCAACCACAAACCTTTTCAATTAGCAGCTCACCGTGTAACCCACAGTGACAACAGGTCTCCTTGCCTGTCCCCCAGTACTCCTTAAATCAGGTGTGTCTCAGAACTAGCAGAAAGGGTCTGTGATCAGAAGAATGTGAGGGTTCTACCTGAGCTGGAACCCTGGAACCCTCTCCCAGGGTTAAGGCTGGGTCAGTCAGCCAAACACTGATGACGTTTAAAAGGTCAGATTGCCCCAAATGCCGTACCTATGTATCAAAGAAAGAGAAGTCTTTTGTGAAAAACCCCACCTCCTGCTCTTGGCTTTCCCTCACTACTTCTTTTTTTTAACCCAATTTTCATTCCTCCCATCCGGTCACTTCAGTCCAACACAAATAGTCAGTCGTAGTGCACAAATGAGCTCTATTTTCACAGGCGTCGGGTTTGGAATAGAAACAGCAAGCTTCCGAGGTGTATTTACAAGCTTCTTGTTTCATGTTACTTGGTTCTCTTGGCACAAGTTTAAAGCACTACACAGTCCTTCCAGGTCTGCTTGATGGCTTTTTTTCCCCTAGTGCTTACCTTTTGCATCATTATCTCCTGATAGCCGGAGCTTCATGGCCTCCTAGAGGTCTTCCTTTCCACTCCCACTCCAGGTTTGAGCTCCTCTTTTGGCAAACATCACTAGGTCCATCCTGACTCTTGCTGTCTCGCCCCTCTAGTTCCTCGTACATACCACACCAAGGCTGGCCCCAGGCTTTGAAGCCTGGATGATCCATGTTGTGCATTCCCCTCTCTTTCCCCTTCCTTGTGGGGACCTGGCCATCTGTTTTAGGCTAGAGAAGCAAAACCAATGATACATATGGTGACAGTGATTATGTGCTTTGGAGTCGGTTCTGACTCATAGCGACCCTGTGCAGGGTTTCTGAGGCTGTGAATCTTTACAAGAGCAAAAAACCTCATCTTTCTCTCGCGGAGCAGCTGGTAGTTCTGAACTGCTGACCTTGAGGTTAACGGCCCGACTCATAACTACTATGCTGCCAGAGCCCCTTAGTGAAACATATATGTGTGTGTATGTATATAGACATATATATATATATATGTTGTTGTTAAGTGCCATTGAGTCGATTCCGACTCATAGTGACCCTG